CGTGCTCTGGTCCATGGGGTCACGAAGAGTCGGACACAACTTAACGACTAAACAACAACAAAGAGTGGCACAGAGTCCGTAGTTCAAGCCAGGCCTTTTATGCCCCATGTTCCCTAGAATTCTTCTTGAGCTCTCCTTAATTGTGATCTTAGGCTTTTCATATTTACATCACTCTGTAAGTGAGTGTTCATCATATCTCATAAGCTTCTGACACTAGAATGCTCTCTGCTAGGGTTGTAGCCCCCCCCCATGGCTTCTGGGAGTTTTATTTCCCCCAAATTAATGTTCCCAAACTTGCAAACAGATTAACTGTTACAGGTAGGATTGTGAGTCGAGATCAGTGTTTTCTAGTGACAACCATCTAGCCAAGTAACCCTAACCCGCTCCCGGCACATTTGCATTGAAAAAGCATTTTTAACGGGGTAAAGAAAACACATGAAACATAGATTTTTTTCAGAATATAATTCTAACCTAATAATTCTAACATTATGTGATTATGGAGGGTGGGGCTGTAAATCTGCCTCTATCAGATAAAATTGGAGAAGAGGAAAAAAGTTGGTACAGCCAGCACTCAAAATGGTCACAAGTCGAGGTGGCCCAGCGCCAAAAAGCTGAGCCTGGCCGGAGGAAGCCCCCCCAGGGAGCGGACGGACGGAGCGCCCCTGCCGGGCTCAGCCTCCCGCCACTCAGCCTCCCGGCGCACCTCTGGGAGGGGCTGGCTCCGGAGCTGGAAGCGCCATGGGGGGCACCATCAGCACTGGCGTCGTCGGCTTGGGGCTGTCTGGTAAGGTCAGGGGCTGGTTTTTAAAAATTCTGGGTTGCTTTTGGATAAGTCGAGGCACCCTTGCAGTTTAAAAACTTCATCAGTGGAGTTTGGCCTTTGAAACAAGACTTTCACGTCAAAGGATGGCCAACATTTAAAACCAAGTGTTTTCATGGTAGAAAATCTCACAGAGGTGGGGGGTTGTTTGTTTTGTTTTTTTAATGTAGCAATAAAGGGAGATGGAAAAGGATAACCTGTGTTTCCTAGGTGGCAAGGTATTTTTTCTTTTCAGACCTAGAAGTCTAAGAGGAATAATCCTGGAATTAAAGAGCTATTGTATGCCAAAGACAGGAATCCATCTGATTCATTACATTTATACATATTTACACCTAGCTACAATTAGCTGCATTGGCACTGCACAATATCTTATCGCTAACAAATTTAAGAAGGCCTCTGAGGAAATTATGTTCCTGAGCAAACTAGGAAATTGCTTCTCTCCTAAGGAAATTTGTATTATGTTGCTGTCCTCTGAAGATGCCGGCCACAGAGACTGGCGAAACGTCAGGAAGGACAACCTTCAGAACAAAGAGACAAAGAGCCCGAAAAACCCACAGCAACTATCAAATTAATCCAATTATTAAATTAAACAGTTGATCAAACTAGCAATTTAAATGAACTTAAATAAAATTTTAAATAAAAATACATTTGTTTCAAAACTAAACAAGACATAAGAATATTAAACGGAAATAATAAAGAAAATAAACCGAAGATTCTCCCCTACAACCAATACTTACCCAAGAAAGAATTGTTTTTAATATTATTATAATGAAACAGAGAAAAGCTGTAAAAGGATCTATATCACAACCACAACCGAACAGCATTTTTGCATTCAATTGGCTTCTCTGAGGGTGGCAGATGTTTTTAGGGCACCTCTGCTGCCATCACCCTTTGTATCACAAACGCCCTTTGAGGCGCCCAACAATCCTGGCCTGGCTGAAGGCTGTCCTCACCAGGGGAACCACGGCCTGGGCTGTACTCATGGCATCTTCCCGCCCTGCCCTAATCAAAAGGGGAAATCCTCGTTATTTATTTTCTAATTGGCCGATCGTTTCTGAGTTCTTGGAGAAGCAGTCAAGGCGACCCAAACGCCCGTTTTTCTTTTTCTTCTGTGAATACACACAGATGGGCTTAATCTGCGCCTGCGCTGACCTTCTCGGAGCAATCTAGAGCTAAACGTCGCCATTTTATGGGGTGATCCCCTCATGAGGCACCAGCTCCTCCCACCCAAGATTCCCCTCAGTTCCTTTTTTCCGCCCTGCTGTAAAGTTCTACAGAGCATACATAGAGCTATTTCTCAGGGGCTTTTTCCCTTTGCTTATTGATCAATTCCCTCTAAAACGAGGCTGAAGTTAGCTTCATATTTGGCCAGCTTATTCACTTCTTATTCGTCTCCCAACTTCTTATTCACTTCTTATTCGTGTCCCAGCTTCTTATTCAGAATATGTTGTATTTAAACTATTAAACCAAGTTGGATCACTCAAATATCAGTGTATTAATAATAAATCATAGCTCTAACACAAATTACAATAGTATTTTGCCTGGCCCAACGCTGTTTTGGGCACGGAATAGGCTGGCCAAGTGGGCACCGCTGCATATTTTACGCTGAAGTTGTCGGGTTCTTCTGTAGTCATGGTTTTTGTCTTAACATTCAACTGCAGTCTTGCGTTAACATTTTTTTTTCACTTTCCCTAAAAATTGTTAATGCCTTTGCTACTTTCTGCCAGTAAGGTGGTGTTATTTGCATATCTTAAACTACTGATGTTTATTCAACCAATTTTCATTCCTTCTTCCTTTGAATCTAGTCTGTCTTGCCGTATATGTTCTGTGTATGGATCGAACAGATAAGGGGATAAAATGCACCCTCGCCTGATGCCTTTGCCTACAGGAAACTATGGTGTCACTGCATATCCTATCCTAGCAGTAGCTTCTTGTCCACAACACAAGTTATGCACCTGGACAACCAAGGGCTGAGGCACACCCATTTTTTTTTCAGAACAACTCATAGTTTCTGTGATCCACACAATCAAAGGCTTTGCACTTTGTCTAGAAAGCACAGACCGATCTTCTTTGGCGTGCTCCATTAGCCAGTGGATGTTTGCAATATGACTTTAAATACCTCTTCCTCTTCAAAATCCAGCTTGACCATCCGGTATTTCTCACTCCATATAAGGCAAAAGGCTTTCTTGCCACACCTTGAGCATCACTTTGTTCGCATGGCAAATCCGAGTCATGGTTCTACACCTTCCTTTCTTGGGGACAGCCATGCATATGGGGTGTTTCCAGTCTGTGGACCATGGTTTTGTTTTCCATATTTGTTGGCATATTCTTGAACAGCCTTCTTTTTGATGTACAGGTGCTGCCCCCTCCCTCCCCTTCATCCATCTCCGAGGAGGCTCCAAGTCTGTTTCACTGAGCCAGCATGCTTGTGTCAAGTAGAGCAGCCAATGGTGGGCAGAGGCAGGGCAAACACGGGTATCCCCACACACGTGTCCAAACGTTCACATATTTTTAAAATTTCTCTCTCTTGCTCTCTCTCTCTCTCACACACACAGAGAATTTTAAAAATCTGTGAACGTTTATACACACACACACACACACACACACACAAACACAGAGACATAAAGACAGAGGGCCAGCTCTCCAGCTGCTCTGGACTCCAGCTCCCAGAAGCCCCACCCGGCACGGCCAAAGGCAAGGGATTCTGGGAGCTGAAGTCCAAAACGCCCCGAAGGAGCTGGGAAGGCTGAAGATGGACCACTTTCTCGTGTTCCCTTGTTGTGTTGTGTATGTGCGTGTCGGGGGGGGGAGGAGGGATCTGCTTGGCCCCCGCCTGGTCCCCCTCCCACCGGGTTTCCTGAGGGA